GCCTTAATTGCAGCGTTCCCAAAGATTTCTCTTGCTTTCCTTTCCACTTTCAGGTCGTTCCGCAGCTAAGCTATCACCACAAAGCGCTGATAGCACCTGTTTAATCCCGGAGTTTGCCTTTAAAGTATAAGTTTTCTAAAGGAACTTTCTTGAAAAAAGGGTCTAACTATAGGGCAGTGTATACCCGGGAATGGATTTCGGAAGCGTTCCGATCATTATGCATTCGTTTCTTAAGTTACGTAGAGACTGAATTAACGTTCTTACCAGGAACTTGCTCTGCCTGTAACCTGCATATTTGTGAACTGGAACGACAGCTGAATCATAGGAGGTGAGGTGGTCGTATTGGGGACTGGGTTAAATTTATGATCCTGAAGAGTGACTCGCCTGAGGTATTGTTTGAGGTAGCAAATGAATCGCCAGTTCAAAGATTTTCAGAAGAAAATTTCGGAATTTTTACGCTTTCGTATTGGTGACACCCCCGCGTCCCACTCCTCCTTGACCGGTGAAACTTTTCGGAACAAGTGGAGGAGGGTGGGGGTGGCACGGTATGTAGGTTGTTCTAAGCAGTGGGTGTCCTTTCTGGAAAGTTTCTTTCTCGGAGTGTACCAGCTCTTGTTCTGAAATCATCGTTTTCCGTCTTCAATACTCTAAGAGAAGTCTTCATTTTCTTGTAATAGTCTCCATCTATTCAAGGCCGACTTTCGGTATTATATTCTATTTTCGGTTGACCGCTTCGGTAAATGTGGAGCACCTCCTCCGGGATGTAATGGAGTAGACAAGCAAAGCGACAAGTGCGTTGCTGAACTTGTAAGGTAGGTTGTTTTGGTGGTTTTGTTATGACAATCGTAAAATATGGTCTGATTGGGATCCGAGAGGGATCAGAATACTAGAAGAAGAGTGAGAAGAGGTTGGCGAGGAAAGGGACGCGACTTGCTGTCAGGGTGGCGCTCGGCTGCCTACCTTATTCTTTTGCTCCATGAAGACCTGCTGACCGGGAAGAAAGGTTAGAGGTTTGAAAAGGAGAGAAAGCTAAATGTGGATGGTGGGCGTGGGCGTACATACATCGTGGTGGGCGGAGTTTACCGCGAAATATTATAGCTGGATTCCGGGGACACAGAGATCGGGAAAGGAGTGGACCAGGTTCGCATAGGAAGGGAAAGTGGATAGGGACCGACAACGGAAAGGAGATTAATGGCTACAGGTGGGTGAGGCGTGAATAGGAATGGACGGATCGCATCCACTAAATAATGAAACATCCGCGTCAGTGATGTCCTGAAGACAGGGAAAAACGTGAAAGGTACTTGAAAGCGGAAGGAGAGTGCGTAGTGTTCGTTGGGTGGATGCGTGCACGAGTTGGGCGGCGGACGCATTTTCGCGAAATATTGCATGGCAGTATTTTGGTTGATGCAGTTTTAGGACGACTTGCTCATATTACTTTAACTCTTTTGGAATGTGGTGCTCACGGGTTTTCTCAATGGACTCATCAAATCAACTATATTTTGTTTGTCACCTGCTATTTTCGCCATTTTCTGGCGCTAATCACATTTTATGAAGCTTATGGACAAGAGGGCGGAAGTGGTGTAGTGACAAGTGGCGCGCTCACCACGCGAGCGGTCCCGGGATCAAATCCTGGGTCGTGAGTCGCCCGGGCCAACCAAGCCTTCCATCCCTCCGGGGTCGGTTAATTGGTACCAGACTTGTCTGGGGAGATAAAAACACTGACTTGACATCGGCTGGCCCCCGCAAGTCATTGTATAGGCCACATCGCATTCAAACGCCACTGAATGTACAAATGGAAGTAGAATGCGTGCCGCATCCCAAAAAGGGATTGATCAACGGCAAATGCTTTATCCTTTTATCCTTATTATTGATGCACGCGATCTCTGCGTGCGCAGGCACTGTCTGATATTAATACAGCCCCTTGTATTGAGCATAAAAGGCGTATCAACAAATGTGGTTTCAAATGCTAAGAAGGATTTTGTGTAGGTCTTGTGATTTTTAGCAGCCGTATAAGGTTCTACATCGTCATTCGAGAACTCCGAACTGTGTGGACTACGTGACAGAGAAGTTCTTCGAGACGCTGATTAGCCGCATGGCAGTGCCCATTGTCATTAAGAGAGCGATCTACACCAATGTTGGGGTAAGCGTTTCCAATCCATTCGTCTCAAAAGTCAGATTATATCGCCTCATAAGAGTTAGGAGCTACGGATATAATGGCGTCTGTAAGCCGATCACCATTGCCATGGATGTTGAAAATTCGCTTGATCGGAATTTCGCCCAGCAATGCATCCGTCCGATTTCCGCATGAGTCGACTTTGCAGTCATGTTTATGTGGAGATAAGCGCGCTGACTGTTGCTCGCTATGGCCCGTGAGTTCGGTGGGATAGCGCCTGATCACATTCAAAATATCACTACGCATGCCTGAATAGAAGCGACAAATACTTCGAGCATCAACACAAATTGTCCTTGGTCAACTTGGACGCTTTGACTGGCGTTGGAGCTCTTTATCAGTTTACAGCGACCTCTTATATCAATAATCATTAATTTCTATTGCAGGCTCCAAAAAACTCGTTCATCGCATTAGACGATTTTAAAACGGTGGCCGACATGGTTAAGTACATTAAAGGAGTAGCCGCAAACAAACAAAAGTACCTTGCATTCCATCAGTGGAGAACTACTTACGAGTACGTCGGATTATTTTAGGACTTCATCTTTTCAGTAGTTATTCTCAGGATGAACCATGACCGAGAAATCGTCAACTAGGAGTTAGTTGTATTTGCCTTAGCAGGAAGGTCTTTCAGGGGGTGCCAAGCTTTTTTGACACACGGTCTCTGCGATGCGGGCACATACGGAAATCACAAGAAGCAGCGTTGTTTTTTTTCCTACACGCCCTGCCCTGCGGGAGGATCCATGGTTCGATTCCGAGGTGACAAATTTTGCATTTCGAGTGGGTTAGTTGTTAAACATTTCAAAATTCGCGCAAAATGGATTAGTAACATAACTATGGATGCTGCATGATTCGTAATTAGGACTGTCGAGTAAACCTCGTCAGGAAGATGCAAAAGTCCACCACAGACGGATGTCGAACAGGCACCCCCTTTTCTGTTATTCAGAGGCAGTTTATGAAAAATAATTCAAACCCTTGCGCTCTGCTTTTGAAAAAGCCTGGCATCTTCTGGAAGACTTTCCTGGTCAATGAAAGGGAGGGGTCATTTTAGGAATTTTCGGCAGGTTGTAGACGGGAAAACGACATAATGTCATCAGGGTAAATTAGCTATCACAGCACTGAAATATACCCTTTACCCCACTCAACGACATTTTTGGAAGAACTTCGGGGGCGCAGATGTAGTTTCGTTGTTTGGATTAAAATTCTGTGGATATCATTTACCATCGAATGGTTGTATAACAATGGGAAAGGGAGGGGGTGGGTATTTCGTACTGACCAAAATTTTCTCGTTACTTTTGGCTTACTCTGGTCCTAACCGCTATCAAATCGGTTTCGATATTAGATTTCAGAAGCAGTTCCACCATTTGAGCTTTTTTAAGGGCACGACAAGAACACGACGACGACACCGGTTTTTGTGAGTTGTGCCGACGGCTTCAGCAAAAAACGTTGGGATACATGTCCTATGCGGACGTTCGCAAATGGCACGCCGACGACCAGTGTGACAACTCCTTGGGCGCTCGATACATAAGGCACTGAAGCGCTACATAAGTGCCGACACGTATCAAAGCACGGGTAAAATATTTCAAAATTGCAGAAAGTTTGCTCATGATTTTAACTCTTTTGGAATGTGGTACTCACGGGTTTTTCTCAATGGACTCATCAAATCAACTATATTTTGTTTGTCACCTGCTATTTTCGTCATTTTCTGGCGCTAATCACATTTATGAAGACTTATGGACAAAGTAGGGCGGAAGTGGTGTAGTGGCAAGTGGCACGCTCACCACGCGAGCGGTCCGGGGATCAAATCCTGGGTCGTGAGTCGCCCGGGCCAACCAAGCCTTCCATCCCTCCGGGGTCGGTTAATTGGTACCAGACTTGTCTGGGAGGATAAAAACACTGACTTGAACATCGGCTGGCCCCCGCAAGTCATTGTATAGGCCACATCGCATTCAAACGCCACTACGAATGTACAAATGGAAGTAGAATGCGTGCCGCATCCCAAAAGGGATTGATCAACGGCAAATGCTTTATCCTTTATTTTATCAGTGTTCACCCTCGAACGGAATTCAACTAGAAACTATTTTCTTTGGGCGTCGCACTAATCCACTACACCACCGATTCTCCTAAGAGCCTTACTCCTCTCTGTGGTGGCATAGCTAGCTCTGTCTGTAGCTCTCGCGGACCCTTTGTACTTTTATTGCACTAGTCGTATCATTACTTTGTTTGTTTCCGCAACATTTGTTCAAAGATGCGCATTCTTGCTCAGGCTGACATTTGTTTGTGCTAAGGTTATGAAATCAACAGCTGCACTCCCTTTCATGTTTACTAATACCGAACTTTTTCTTTGTTAGACTGGTAACTATTTGCATAAAGACCTTCGCCCGGTATGATATTCTCACTTTTATGGCTTCTCGCTGGCAATCGAGTCAATCCTCTGAGGTTTATGTAAAATTTTACATCTCATGATGGCTGATTGAGGAGATTACCAAGTTCTAAGCAATTTATTATTATTTATACAAAGTCTGTCGTAGATCAATGGACGTGCCTATAAACACATGGTTTAAACGCATACTTTGTAACAAAGTACGCTAAACTCAAGAGAGTAGCCGATGGAATCGTCCACCCAGCCATGAACCAAAATGTTTAGTCAGCGGGAAACATGAAAATGTGTTTTGCTGATCCTAAGAAAAGTTATTTAGAGCATTTTCGCGGTTTTTCCGGGTTGCTAGCGAAAGTAAACTCGGCCCATTGCGAATTGCCCTATGCCTTGAATAGCCTTTAAATGCAAGAAATCTGTTCTGTCTGGAGCTGGGGCTGGGGCTCCTCCCCTAGGTGGATTCTCCTATTCGTGGCGATCAGATGATGAAGTCGCTCGTGGACAGTAGCAGTGGCCAGCGACGAGGAAGTTTCTAAGGGATCCGTAGAGTTATCAGGAAAGAAGCCGGTAAGGTGTGGAGTATTTAAGACCCATTCAGTACAGTGGGCGGCCATTTTTGGTTGGATCAATTTTTTTTTGGTTCAAGTTCAACATTGACTAGATGACTGAAGTACTACCATGCCAGATATCATAGTATAAAAATGAGGAGGAATTCACTTACTCTAGATATATTACATTTTATATGAGGGAGAAAGAAGGCACGCTGTTATTGCTTGAGTTGATGGCTTGCATACAGTTGTTTTGGGGACCCATAAAGTCAGGACCGTGGGCAAGGCCGTCAAGCTGGAGTGTTCTCAGCCAAAAATGCAGAATGCGTGGGGTGCGCCCTTCGGGCAGCAAATGTGATTTAGACATCAAAAGAAGCGCTAAATAAGGTGGCTAATATCCCGATTTCACGGAAGATCTCTCGACGGGAGCCACTACGTTCACATTGTGTCGCAGGAAATCCTGAAGCTTCAGCTGCTGAAGGAACTTCTACGAAGGATATTCCTATCGTTCCACTCATTAGGAATATTGCTCTGGGATCCCTCATCAAGTTTTTCCAACAATCCAAGCATTAGGGGCTCGGTAGAGGTCCAATCGACCGGTAGTCAACTAATAGGAGAGACTCCGTGGTGAAGCTTTCGCTCAAGGCTTACAACCCTTACTCGGATTTCCATGATTATCACTGATAAGGTCTGTCTAAAGAGGAGTAGCTGACTTCAAACTTTGTTTATTCCACTTGAGATCATTGACGCAAAGATCGAAGGTATGCATCAAACGAGGTGATACGTGCAATAATATTATCTGAACAGAGCCTTAGCAGGCTCACAAATGAGTGCGAGATCTACGCTATAGCTGGATTGCTGGCGCGAACATCGGGAAGTGCGGCTTTCAGAGAGGCCATGTCGATGCATCCTCCAGTCATGTCCGACGTAGCGCCACGATACGAGTACCTCCTTGAAAATAAAAGGTCTCAGTTTGATATTGACGCAACTAAAAATTTCAGACATATTCGAATTGCTCCGCTGCCCTCACCGGACGGGGCATGTCTCTTTTGGAGTAGCGACTGAATCTTTTACGCTGTTGTGGCCATCATTACAGCTTGAACGAAAACTGCTGTCTCGTCTGAAATCACCGCCATTTGGTAAATGATACTCGGCAATAATTATAGGTTAGGTAACCGGTTTACCTCAATCCGGCGGAGTTCACATTCTGTATTGAGTCGCTCACGGCGTTCACCGGGCTTGAGCCCCTTAACGGAGTCAGGCTTCCGCGACGAGGAGCAGAACGAAGTCGATCAACAAGGGCAGCAACGAGGATTGTCCACGCCCGACAGGCCTCAGGGAAACCTCTCACGCAGTCCTTAAAGTGAAATAGCTTAGTAATGTTTGAACTCGACTTCCTTAAGATCGATTCCTATAATACAATATAACCTTGACTAAAAATAATTTTGCAGCTGGGTGTCTCGTAGATCCCATTTCTCGGACAGTGGGTCTTTATTTGTACTCAGAACAAAACGTTTAACTCAGAAACGGGTAAATTGAGCACACTAGGAACTACCCTCCCCTTCAAAAAGCCAGAAAGTGTCGGGTGCAGACCATACACCACAAGTGACGACGGCTCCAGAAAATGCAAATGTTTTTGCCAATGAAATGATTAACCTGTTACAGTTGTATTCGATCAGTTGACACTAATTACAACTATCATTTACTAAAATCAGCTATCAACTATAAACCAGATTTACTTGGAGGCCGTCGTCAGTTGTGGTGTTTGGTCTGCACCCGAACACTTTCTGGTTTTTTGAAAGGGAGGGCATATAGTGCGACGGTGCAGAGCCGG